GAAGCAAAATGAAAAATTAAAAAAAGAATTGCATGCTAAAAAACAAAAATTAACAGCTGATTTTTATTTAGAAACTTCTTTAATTAATGAACAATTAAAGGCTATAAGAAATTAATTTTTAAAAGCTTTCAATTATTCACTTGTTGAGCTATTTATACTGTACAATTTGATTAACTCCACTTTTTGAAACATCTCAAACTTAAGTGTCAAAGAATATATTAATATATATATAAATAGGTATATTTTTTATATTTATATTTAAAATAAGTTTCCCAGATAATATAAATGAACAACATTATATGACTAAATATTTTTGTCTTTTCATATATTGATAATTTATTTCACAAGTAATTTCGATCTCAATTCTAAATTTTTAGTTTGATGGAGTTGATCAATTTGTGTAATAAACTATTTATATAACAACTTTTTATTTTATACAAAATAAGGTTTCTAAAATTCCTTGAAATGTAGATTTTTATCTTTATAATTTTTATAAACTATTATTAATTTTTAAGTTTATTTTTATGGTTGAGTATACAGCAGTTATTTTTTTATATGTAAATTTTATGGCTGCTATTTCAATAATCTATATTTTGAGCAGAAATATGTTATTAATATACATTTTTTGGTGCTAGAAATGCCTAACTTTTTACACCTGTTTTATCAGAGAACATTTACACTTTTTTCCTCATTTTAATGTGTCATCAGATCTTGTAAATGTGTATCCACATTTGTAAAAGAAATTCATACAACACATTTTAAATGCAACAAAGCTGTATACATAATTTTTTTTTTACTGTATATTGGTGTATAACTAATAAATTTATGAAGTCTCGTTAATGTTGCGTTGTGGTATCTGGAATTTCAGAAATTTACTCTGGAAAGTCTGGAAAACTCAGAAAATTTTTTTTGGTCTGGAGAATGGCCACCCTGTTCTATTTTCTCTAATTTTTTATACTTTTATTTTCTTTCTTGGTATTTTTATTGCAATCATTAACCAGGATTTCAGGAAAACTGTGTAAGGACAAATTGTTGTTATAATCAGAAAAGGTGATCAGTCTTCTCAGATTTTACATTACAACCCGTTTAACGCAATTTATCACTAAGTGAAACCCATAACAAAGCTTTCAAATTTAATATGGTATTAAGGTGAATCAGTTTTTAAAATTTGACTGACCTAGCGATTTTCCTTATTTTTAATCTGAAGTGCAAGCTTGGTTAATTTGCAAATTACCTTTTATTTCTTTTTTTTTTTTTATATCTTTCTTTTTGGACATAAATTTTTATTTTTATTTTTTCAAAATTTTAGTTTGGAGATTTTTTTTTAACCCGGCAGAAGGCGCGCTCACAATATTACGCGAGCAGGCGCGGTGGGTCCAATGGACCCTTTCTTACTTTTTAACGGTTTTAGGACAATGAATTGATAGCATTTATTCTTAAATAATAACATCAAGTAGATAAACAGTGAGACAATATGTTTCTAAGGTTTGTAGGAGAAATTTATTTATATTTTAATAAAAAAAACTTACATTTTAAGCACATACATCACACACTGTAATTGAATGTTCATTGCATACATTCTTCTGACATTTGGCACAACATGTTTTGGTCTTCCTGTCTTTTGAGGAGGAACAAATGTAACACCTTTTTTTGGTATTGCACTTTTGTTTCTTTTGTGGCGGCTCTACGTCTTCCGCAGGAAAATGTTGCAGTTTTTCTTTCAGCTTTTTGGGTATGGATGGTTGAACCCTCCGTTCTTGAATATGCTCTTTTATAAGAGCCATGGCAATTTCTTTCAAGAAGGCTCTTCTATTTTTATATGCAGTGGGCGGATTTTTCGTTGACAGCAATAAGACTCTTGCATTTATTGCTGCTGTGTTCAAAATTGAAAAAAATACAACCATAGGCCATCTCTTGCTTATTCTTGCAGTAGAATATGATACGGACATTTCATCGACGACATCTACTGCACCTTTTGTGATGTTATAAAAAGTAATAATTTCTGGCTTTTTTGCGTCACCACTGGAAATATCTATTGTTCCATCATTGTGCATTGTTGATAGCAGGTTAACGCACTTATTCTTCTTAGGAACATATGACACTAATGTCATATTTTTCTGGAATCCAAATAATGAGGAGTGTATTTCTTTTTGTTTTCCAGTAACAAATTCGATCGGTAACTCCCGTTTATTTTTTTTTACAGTTCCAACCATTGTGATTTTTTTCTTCAATAAATCCTGTGCCAAACTATAACTTGTATACCAGTTATCTGTTATTACATTTCGCCCAGAATTATTGAGTTTTTGTGTCAATCTCTTAACGATATCGTTGGGAGAATTACTGACTTCATATGAACCTTTTGGCTGAGTCCCGGCATATATTTCCAAGTTCCAAGTATAGAATGTTCTGGAATCAACCAGGGCGTATATTTTAATCCCGTATTTTGCCGGTTTATTTGGGATGTATTGCCTGAAAGAACATCTTCCTCTAAATGGTTCAAGTTTTTCGTCTATTGTTACATATTCTCCGACATAATAGAATTTTTGACAGTTTGCAACAAATGTTTCAAAGCAATCTCTGATAGGTGCAAGTTTGTCAAGTTTTCTTCTTTCCTGTCTATCTCTTACATCGTCAAACCTCAAGCATCTTAATAGAAATAGAAATCGTTTGTACGACATAGTGCTGTGAAATATATCAAGTCCAGTTCCATCTGTTGCCCAAAGATCAAGGACATTTACATGGGAAGATTTATGCACTCCACAAAAATACAATAGTCCGATAAGTGCTCTAATTTCATTCAGAGTCGTTTTTCTTGCATCCCGCTCTCTTTGAAAATTGTCAGCAATCCTATCAATGTATATATTCGTAAAATCCACTACTTTGTTTAGCATCTCTTCATTTATCAAAAGTTTCCACGATTCAATAGGAGACAATAGATTTTTGGCTTCTCCGACATTTCCTGGCAATCTAGTTATTATGTTGACGGCCGGGGTTCGCACATTTTGTCGATATGGCGTTTTTTTCCACTTCGTAATTTTGTCTTTTCCAACAAAATATTCGTTCTCTCCGGTGCCTGTACTATCATCGGACTCTAATTCTTCCTCCGAAGACGATTGATGCTCACTAAAATTATCATTTTGCTCGTTTTCACTTATAATTTCATCATCATCTTCATTTATTGATTCTTCATCAGTTGAAACTTCCGCCAGTAATGTTTGCAATCGCTTCATTTCCTCATCGTAACTCAAATAGCGAGACATTTTTTTTATAATACACACTCCACATAAACGATCTCACTGAAATATCTTCCTATGACTAGTCACTCGAACAGGCGCGCTGGGTCTGTCAGACCCTATTATCGAAAAATAACAACAATAATGAATAGTGGAATGTAGAAATTTCATTCGGCGGAAAGAAGTTGACCTTGAAGGCAGCTACTGCGGACTTGGACCATTTTGAAGAAAAGGGGGAATTTCTACGGTTTGAGTTTGGGGCGACGGGGTCTCTTGGACCCGGCGCGCGTGCTGGCGGGTTAAAAAAAAAAATTTGTGTGGAGATCTTAATTGGTAAATTAATTTGTCACAATTGTGTGTTAGGAAATTATAATATTTTCATTTCTATTTTAAATGTGTTTTTGAAGTGTATTTGGTTATTAATACTTTTCAATTTGTATTTGGTCATTTTCCTATCTCTATGCTGGAATTAAAGCTCAGAAATAAAGAAACGATTTGTTTATGGAAATAATTGAGCTATGAACTAATTACCAATGTTGGACTCAAGCATTAATGTCTGGTTTCACATTTCAATTCAAATTCTAAAAACGAGTACTTTATTCATTTTCCGAGTTATTTGTATTAGTTTTAACATTTCTTGATTTAATTTCTGCCACACTGTAATTGCATTCATATACTAAAATTGAATTTCAATAATTATTGTAGTTGCATTAAGAAGAGAAAAATATTTTAATGGCATTTATATCTTAACCCTAAACACCATAGTAAAACAAAAATATAAATTCAACCAATCAATAAATCATAGAAATTGTAACACATAAAACAATAAATATGAAAATAATTTCTTCAAACATTTTTTATGCCAATCAAAACAATCAATTCACTGAAAATAAAAATTTCTCAATGAAAAAAATTTCAACAGTAAATACGATAAATGTATAAAAAGTAGTTTCACTTTGAAACATCAAGTTTGAGAAAAGAAATTAAAATCATAATTTATGATTTTTGTTCATTTACATGAGTGCTTTTTTCTTTATTAATCAATAAAAATTCAAGAAATTGTTTTATGAGAATTGTAAAAATTGTACTGATTTTTAAAAATGAACTAGTCTGTGCATTTTGTAAAATCTGTACCTTATAAGCATAATTTTTTAATATTTTAAGCTGATCGGACCCTGGAAACACAAATTATTATTCAATATTTTCATCTTGTAACAACTTAATAAAATAAAATATGAAAAGTAAAATAATGAAATATGGAAGCATTAAATAATTAATAATTTCTTGTTAAAATTTATTGGTGTTTCTTTATTTCTATTCTGAATCATAATGTTTATTGATTTTCTAGTAAGCTACTTGTATGCATCAGCAATAAATATATGTAACAACATTTAAAATAATTAAAAGTAAAAAACTTAATTTTAGAGATATATACAATAATTCTTAAAATGTGTTCAAGTTGGCACAAAATGCTTTTAAAATTAGAATTTGAAACTTAGGTTTGCAATGAATACACAGCTTTTCTGTTGAAAGAACTTTCTTATTTGCAGACAATTTTTGTGATTTTCTACTAAACTGAGATTGGGTAACTTTACTTTGAAACCCTACTGCTTAATGTTCTGAATCTGCTTAATGTTCACAGCAATGTTTTACACAAAATGTTACATTTATTGTTTACACACATCTGTTTTCATTGAGTTTGTTGCAGCATATCCTTTGTGCCATAAAATTCTTCAATGAATTCAGTCCTATTTCTTTTATTTGCAGCCTGATTATTCTTCCATTGCAAAACATTGTAATCTTTGGCGAAATTACAACGACATTGAAGATTCTTGGGCAAGTGTTTTATCTATTATAGATTTCTATGCTGCTCATCAAGATGAATTAATTGCAGCTGCTGGACCTGGTCATTGGAATGATCCAGATATGGTACTAACTCTTAAGTATTAATTTAATATATTTTCTTTTTTAATTTCTAGAGAAGATATTTGTATATACAGTGAAACCTCTCGAGAGCGACCACTCTATGTTCCACAGTAAAATGGTCATTAATGGAAATTGGTCTTTCTTAGGGGCTACTTCCATTGACTTCAAAATGATATCAAAGGTGCATGATTTTTGGCAAGAAATCAGTGTAATTGTTTTGGTGCAAAATATTTCTTATGTTGGCGTCACGACAACCGGGTCAATGAATAAAATTAAGCTTTAATAAAAATGACCTTTACTAATATAATTATGTGTGAAAACAAATTTACCAATTATGAATGATAGAACTATTTTAAATAATTACACAATTATGTTTTTTGTTTGTTTAAGCTTGCGTTTAATCATAAAAATTAGGTAGCTTTAAGGCTGTTTTTTTGAGATGATCAGTTTTTCTAAAATAACTTAATTTCTAATTAACTAACTAAAATTTAACTTTCTACTCTAAAAAGAAATCATTGATAGCATCGTCTTGAGTGCACTCTGACTGCAACATAAGGTTGTAGATCTCTTTCAGAGATTGTCAAAAAGAACTCTAAATAAGAGCACATTACAAATATTACAAATGCATTTGGATTTACTTATGTGTATTGTTAACATTTTTTGTGTATCCTAATTTAACCTTTTCTGCATTTTGTGTAGATTGCCCTGTTGCAAGGGGAGGTTTTTGATGGTCTCTCCTAAAGGTTTTCTTCAACATAAAGTCTATGAAAAAAATTTTGTGTCTCCCAAAAATGCTCACAAATACAGGAGGTCATTACATAGAGGTGGTCCTTCCTGGGGCTTTACTGTATCTATAAATATATGACTTGTGTATATAATACATGGGTGTGTATATATACATTACGCTACAATAATAGAAGAGACACTTTCAGTTTTAAAATAATTTTGTAAAATTTAGTTTAAATATGCGTGGAGATATGAGAATATTTATTAAAAACTAATCATTTTTGTCTTGTGTTTTTTTTGCTATAACTTTGAAAATATTCAATAAAATTAAGCAAAATTTTTGCAGCAAATTTTAATTAATTACAAAATTAATATCTGAGGAAAATTTGCTAAAGATTGCCCTGATTTGAGCATTTAAAGTAGTTTATTCATACTACAGATTGTTTGTTCATACTACGGGGGGAAAATTAAAAGAAAAAGTGTTTTCATAGTTTTATAGTGAAGTGAATCAGATTTTGTGACTTATGAAAAAAATTTGCTTTGAATAAGGGATTTTATACAAAATTTAATTTTGTATAATATTTGTTATATATACATTATATATATTTGTTATATATTGTATAATATGTTGCATGTTTTGTATCATTTTGTATTTAGTTTTGTATAACAATAATAAATGATAACACCTTAGAATAATCATCTGGACACCAAAATGTGATGGTATAAGGAAAGAAAACATACTCTTACCGGGGAGGATCCTCCATAATGCCCGTGTCATTTTTAATAAATCTTGTCTTGTTTAATAGTGCGAAATAAAATTTATGGAACATCCTTTTTTTAGAACTTTCTTTAAAAAATATATATTTATAAATTACTTAAAAAATTGCTAGAAATTTCTTAAATTTTTGAGATATTCAAATCAGACTTACTGCATTAGTTACTAAATATGATTCACTACAAAATTGTGAAAAAAGCTTTTTAAATTTTTCTGCTCATTCATAGTATGAAAGAACTACTTTAAATGCTCATATTTTGCTCAATTTTTAATGAATTTTAAAATGTGTTATTTTCTAAAATGTGTTATTTTCTAAAATGTGTTATTTAATTTCTTTGAATGTTTTTGAAGTTTTAGCAATAAAAGATAAGACAAAAAAAAACTTTTATATAAATGTTCATATATCCATAAATATTTATTCTAAGTTTACAAAATTTCATGCAAATATTTCAAGTTACAACCAAAGTAATTGATGCAAGCTACAAGTCTATTACTATATTTTCTAACATAGATTGCTCAAAAATACTCGTTTCATTCATAATATATTACTGGACCCTCGAACATCTGAAAGCTTTAAAATTTATTGATTAGTAAAGGAAATCAATCTAGACCAGGGATGAGCAAACTACGACCCGCTGGAAGGTTTTGTCCGGCCCGCGGATAGAATTTTAACTTGTCGATCCATAGCGAATATATACAATATGCATCCATTTTCTTGTCTACTTTGTTTAAAGCAATTTTTGTTATTTTTTTTCTTAACAAAGTACTGATGACCTTTTTACTTTTTCTATTTTTTTCTATAAAACATAAATTGATGGAAATAGCTAGCAAAGATAGCTTCAATTGGTAAAATGTAGAAAGCAGAAGTTCTTTATAGAATAACCGTAAATTGGCGCCAACGAGCGTTTGTCTTTCTCGGGGAACAGACATACTGAATCTAATATAGGTGAATTGTACTTCACATGTGGCAGACTGCTCATTTTAAGCTCATACGAGCAGATTTTTCTGCCGGGGCGAGTTCTAACATAATTTATTGCATATGGAAAGATTGCACACATATATTGTTATTGTAAATAATGGAAGTTATTAAAAGTATCAAATAACTAGTACTTGTTTGAGTTATTTGTAAAATTTTTTAACCCCAAAATGGCAACCAAAAACACAAAGAGTACAGATTCAGAGTACAGTGCGCTCAATGATGAATGGACTTGGAAATATTTTTTTACAGTTGTAAAAGATAAACCAGTATGTCTTATCTGCAATGAAGCTCTAGCAGTTTTTAAAGAATAAAACATTAACCGACATTTTACAGTCAAGCACAGGAATGTAAACTACGAAGCAATCTCTGAATGTGAAAAAATGCCTTAAATGAAAAGTCTTAAAGAATTATCAGGCTGACAAAAGTTTTCAAAAAGATAAACAGTCCAAGAAGCATCTACGAATGCAAGTTACATTGTAGCATACAATGTTGCTAAAAATAATAAATCTTTCGGTGATGGGGAGTTTGTTAAACAGTGTATACTCCAAGTTTGTGACGTTTTATGTCCAGATATGAAAAATAATTTTGAGGCTGTAAGCTTATCGCCAAAAACAGTAACTTCTAGAATCGAAGCCTTAGAGTCAAAAATTGCACAATTTATATTTTTCTCAATAGCTATGGATAAAAGCACTGACATATTTGATACTGCTCAATTAGTGTTATTTATAAAAGCTGTTGATGAGAACTTTGAAATTACCGAGGGACTGGCATGCATGCGTTCTTTAAAGGGAACTATAATGAGATGTGATATTTTTCATGAGTTTCAGGAAATACTTTTAAATTTGAAAGTGCCTGCATTTTTCAGAAATCTTTTTTGTCATACGAACAACTTGAATACTATGATGCAAAGGAAAAATCAATTGAGCGATGATATCTCGGCCTGTCTCAAAGCTTTTAAGCTGAGGCTTAATTTGTTTCCCGGGCATCTAACTAAAAACGATTTGTCTTATTTCTCGAGGTTAAATTCAATACCCTCAGTAAATAAGGAAAAGCATAAGAATTGTGAATCGCTAGAGAAAACTCCATTTTCAGTTTCAGAGCCATTCAAACAGAATTAGATATTTTTACCATGCTTTTCAACATAAATTGTGAAACAGTGAGGTCGGATTTGCAGCTTTGAATTAATTGAGTTGCAATCTAACAATCATTTGAAGCAGTTGTTTCTAAATATACCAAAGTTTGAAATCATTACCAAAATTTAATATCTCATGCCGAGAAAATCAGTGCTATGTTTGCTTCATCTTATGTATGTGAACAAGTGTTTTCAACTATGAACCTTAGAAAAAATAATTTCAGAAGTAGACTAACAGTCAAGTATTTAGCCTTAAAATAAGTAGATCTCACTTCAAACCTCAATCTTTGATCTCACTTCAAACCTCAATCTTTGATCTCCCCTTTTGGAATGAATCTGAAAAGAGACTTTTTATATTTGGTTGTACTCATCATAGAAACATTAACCTGAATATTGGCTAACCTACTCTGAATAAAAAATGTATTTACTAAAAGTAATATGAGTATGGCAGTAAAATTCCCAATTTTTTTAAAGATTATAGGTGGCAACTTTGGCTTGAGTTATGAAGAAGCACGATCTCAGCTTGCATTATGGGCGATCATGGCTAGTCCTTTGTTAATGTCGAATGATTTGCGAAGTTTAAAGCCTGAGTTCAAAGAATTACTTTTGAATAAAGATATACTTTCTATTAATCAGGATACCCTTGGATTAATGGGAAAACGTATATATAATGTAAGTAGTCTACTTCTCTTTATCCTCACCGTAATTGATATTTTGTGAGGATGCATATATATATATCTGATAGTTGATTTTTACTATCTTATAATTTTATATAAATGATGTAATAAGTTTCTATATTTGGCTCATGACATATCCTCTTTATAGTTAATATTATAATTATATAATTCTTACTATATAATTTCTAATTATAGCTTTAGTTGTTCCTTATTGTATAGATACAACTCCTCTTAAAAAGAAATTTTTGCCAATTTAAGAATATCTTAACAAGCTTATTTAAAGTACAAAAGCAATATTGCGAAATAAATAGATTAAAAGTTTTGTATTAAATGTTATATTTTTCAAGTAGCGTTGAATGATTATTGATCTATTAAACACAATAACAGGCTTACTGATGGACTAAGGAAAAGTTTTGAAATATTAATAGGTAGGTTAGTTTAAAATATTAATAGATAGTAGGATAATTTTTATATGCGGTTAGAAAAACTAACTAAATTTAATAAAATCTTAACCTAGTGAGATTTCATAAAGAAGATTCACACTTTCTTTATTTTTAGATTTAGTTAAATAAAAGGATATAACTTTTATAATTAAAATATCTTATTCCAAATTTGTTCCCAGCAGAAATCAATCACCATAAAATTGTGGAAATTTATAAATGACTATAAAGGGATGACAAATCTTTTTATTGATTAGGGTTCAAATGCACCAAGAATATTGGGAAAACTAGAAATTGTTTGTGAAATATTGAGATTGAAAAGAAAGTCAAGGAATTGTCGGAGAAAAACTTTATTTTACCCCGAAAACTGGGAACCATCTAATTTATATTTTCTAACTATCCATTCATTTTTTTTAAAATGGAAAATCTTAACGTATTGCATTTTTATAGTTTTTTTTTTATTCTCTTTTTAATTTCCTCCCTTCTATCCTTAAAAACATTCGTCAGTTAATTTAATATGACTAAAATCCAAATAAATACAAATTATTTGTATTATATTTTTATTAATTTAGCTTTTTTTAAGATGATTTAATTATGGAAAGTTATTTTATTGATTAATAAGTTCTACTTTTATTTTTCATTTTCTTGCAGCTTTGTTTAATATCTGAAGATAATTTATTTATTTATTTTGTAGCTAAGGAATAAAAATATTAAGTTTTTATCATTTATTATTTTTTTATTTTTGTTTGTTGCTAAAAAGCATTGTTTTTAGTTATTTATTCTATTTGACTTAATTAAATAAATATGGATTATTGGCATATTTACTAGTTTCTTTTTAGGATTTTTTGATAAATTGGTGTTAAAAATATATATTTTTTAAAAATTATTTTCTTTTTAAGTTAGTATTACTCAATTAAGTTTTACAATCTTATTGGTTCTTATTTTTCCCATAACTAATTTTTTGATTGGTGCTAATACATTACCGTAATTTCGTGGAGAAACGCCGCCCTGGTATATACGCCGCTCCCTCAAAAATCGATTGACAGAAAAAAGCTTTTCACCGGACACGCCGCACCATCGTACACGCTGCGCCGAATTTTTAACAATTAAAGAATTTTGAACTTAATGCAGGTATTGATTAAAGACTTAACACATGCTCTAAATATGCACATGTATATAATTTAAATAGTTAAATAAATAAAAGGATATTAAATATTAAAAAAAAATGGAAACAATCCTAGTATATAACATAGATTTTAATAATTTTCTAAGTGAAATTAAGCATTTTCTAATTTTAAAGTGAAGTAACCATTAAAATATAAATAAAATAATTAATATATCATAAACCATTAAAATAAGTATGAAATTTTTTAAAAATTAAACGATTTTACTTTTAAATTAACAATCCAAAATCCTGTTTTAGAAATAAACGATAAATCCAAACAATTTTTGTTCAAAGAAAAAGTTAAAAATAATTTATTTAGATATCACGTATCACTATATATTCATATCACTGCACTTAAAAATTCCTCAAACTTAGAACTCTCTGTATCAGAGCAAATTGGGTTTACTATTTAATTGTTTATTTCGGGTTAATCTCCGTCACTTTCGGTTTCGTTTGTCCGGGATGATTTCCGCTTATTTGAAGCCATTTATCACAGTTTCTTTTTCTCTTTTAATTGCTGACAGCTTAAACGCAGCAGTATAATTTTTCCTCTTAATGGGAGGCATTTAAAATGGATAACTTAAATACAAGTTATGTTAAAACAAAATGAAAATAGTATAAACGAAACAAAAATATTAACGAAAGAAAAATATTAAAATATTAATAAAACAAAAACGCATCAGAACTGAAGATAAAACGATAAAAAAACGTAATAATAATAAGCTGAGAAAGATGATCGAAATCAGACAGAATTAATTATTTGAAAATATAGAAAACATTAAAATTAAAAAGTTCTTTGGTAGAAGATGTATAGACCAAAAGACAGCATATGTGGAATGCTCAAAAATCGAGAAAAGTACACATGTTTTTCAAAATTCTAAAACTTCGTCAAAAAAAGTCAAATCAATCTGAAATTTTCAGAGCTTACATAGAACGGTTCAAATAACTATTTTCCATTAACAGAAAGTACAAAAAAAAATTTCCGCAAGTTTGGCAAGTGTTCAAACTTAAAAAATTTTTTCACTATAAAAACAACCCATGAGGAAAAGCTGGATTCAGTTCGCAAAAAGCAAAGTATTGCAATTTGATCATTTGTAACTAACTGTAGAGGGTTCACTTTAGAACATATCAAATTTTCATGCAATTTGAATGATTTTTTGCAGTTCTATGAACATTTGAATTTAGACCTTTTCTTTGTAGATTTCAAAATTTTCGCAAACTTTTGACCAGTAGTGTATATTTATCATGAAATCAGCACAAGTTGATAGCAATAAATTAAAGACTCAAATGTGTGATTTAAAATTTTTGTGCAAATAAGCAGTAAGAATCTTCTGTAAATTATTAAAAAGTATATCGTTTTTCATCTCTGATCTCTTTTTTTTTTTTGGTAATAATTGCTACAAGTTTTAACTTTGTTTTTAAAATCCAGATGTCTTTCATTGCTCAGCTATTACTATTAATCATCTCATGATTTGTTTTAAAATTCAATATTATTACACACACGAAGCTCGAATCCCACTTTCAAGAAATAACTCTGTGGAACGCTCAGTTTGTGCTGATAGTATCGTTAATCTACACAGTGTTTCAATTGTTTTTTGACACGGTGTTTGAATTTTTACATTAAGGAAAATTCCATCATTTTTTATGCAATTTTATTACAGGCGAATTTCAAATTGCACATTTAATAATTTACTTTTAATATGAGGATTTTGTTGTTCTTTCAATTGTTTGGCAGTTTTTGCTTGCACTGCTGATTTCTGTGCGGTTTTTAAATTTCCAGTATTTTTCAGTTGATATTATTTGTTTATAGTGTGCAAAAAAAAAATGGACCACTCTGAATAACTTTTGAACTAATGATCAAATTCAATCTTAATGGTTTGAAAGGGTGGATTCAAAAATGCTAATTAATTAGTGCATGTGATATTTTAAGTCACGAAATCAGACACTAAAACATACTTTCTCTGAATAAACATACCTTTTTTTTAATGAATTCACATTTCTGACCCCCAAAATATAGGGGGTAGCTGCAATCTGGGAAATATGGTAGTTTAGTCGAATTTCATAGTTTGGTCAGGAGAGTTTTCCGAACTTTGAACCCCTTATTGTTAATTTTACTTTTTGCGTATTTCAACATATCTCGAGAGCTGTTTAAACAAACTGAAAAATTTTTGCACACAATTATAAAATTTGTTTATTCAAAGATAATTTCATGTGAAATACAACTTTTACTAAATATTTATTATTTATTTAATAATAGTCGAAACATTTTGGATTGTAAGGTCTACAAATTTTTACATCATTTTAAAGAATGCAATTTTAAATGGCAAAATACAAAATTTTAAAGAAATTTCTAGAGTAGTTCCTGAGAAATTGAATTTTAAAAATTTGATTTGTCAGGAACTATTCAACCAATCTTGTTCAAATTTTGTATTTTGTTATTTAAAATTGTATTCTTTAGAATAATTTTTTATATCTTACAATTCAAAATTTTTTCGACTAGCATTAAATAAAATAATAAAAAATAGTATTTACTAAAAGTTATATTTAACATGAAATTATCTTTGGATAAGCAAATTTTATAATTGTGTTCAAAATTTTTCTATTCCCTTAAAAATTTCTGATACAGTGAAATATACAAAAAATAAAATTAAAAGTTAAATCGTCAAGGAGTCCAAACTTTGAACTGTTCTCCTGAAAAAATTTTTGGGACCATATTTTCCAGATTGCTGCTACCCTCTATATTTTAAGGGCCAAAAACTCAAATCCGTCGAAAAAAAGGTTTGTTTATTTAGAGAAAGTACCTACATTTTTTTGTCTGATTTTGTAACTTAAAATATCGTCTGCAGTATTTTACCAGCATATTTGAGGTCATCCCCTCGAATCATTAGGATCGAGTCGTAGAATGTGAAGATCGGATTATTAGATCAAAAGTTATTCAGAGTGGTATATTTTTTTATTATTTATTTATGCAGTGTTCACTGGTACATTAAAAATCCAAATTTGTCCGGAATAAAATAGTTACAATGAAACGTCTAAATATATACTACTGTCTAATGATTAAATATTATAAACAATATCTGAAAATCACATGTGTATTGACGGAAAGAGTTATTAAATTCAATAAAAATAGTTATTTTATATCAGATCATTTATTTTAGCAATTACTTTCGTTGAACTAATTGTTGAAACTATATTAATATTAAAATGAAAAAAATAATAATGTTAATCAGTAATTTAAATAAATGATTGTAATGTAGAGAAGCAAAATAAAATATTAAAAATAAATGCATTCTTGTAATAAAAATAAAATTAAAATAGTTAAAAATAAAAGTAATATATTAGAATTTTGAAAAAAGACAATAATAGTAGTAACCTCTGTCATTCCATTGCAGAATAGAGATTTCATCGCTTCCTTAATCTACCAGAATGGAATTCAAAATCATTTTGCACTGGAATTTAATTCAAAGCAAAATCTAGAGTTTGTAATACACCAAACTGATAATTACAGATTTATGATGTCACAAGTGCATCATTCAAACCGAAATTAAAATCCCGGAAACTTGTAATAGGGTCTCTCGTCCTACTTTACATTCATGCTTTAAGCTAAAAACTTAAGTGAATTTGGTGCGATGCAATTAAAAGTTAGTTTCTGAAAGTTAGCATATCTCGGTTTCACTTTTATTTTGCTCAATTTATTTTCAGTGTCTAAAAAATTAATTTGTGACAAAATAGGTTATAGTGTCATATTTATGGTTCTTCCTAATATCTTGACATACAATTATTTTAATGTAGGTAAACAATGTTGAAATTTGGACCAGACCAATTAATCCCATTGGCACAAGTGTTTCCTACTCATATGCTGTTGTGTTTTTCAATCGTCGAACATTAGGTGGACCAGTGAAACTTAGTGTAAACTTGGCCTCAATTGGACTGAAAAATGTACACTGTTATGAAATACGTTTTGTATTCAGCAATGACATTAATGAAAAACTCTGTCCATCAGATAATGTAACTTCAAGTGTTAATCCTTCAGGTGTGAACATGCTGATTGCTAAGAGCTTATAGTCATATCCCCAAATAGTATGCATGTAATATCTGCCAACATGATTGATATTTTTTGTTGTTAGAATCATGATTTTGCTGATTATTTTTCAACTTTTTATTTATGGATTGAAGAATAAGAATCCAGATTTCCTGTATATTAGAAGCAGTTTTTATTTAATAATGTAAGAATAACAATCTAGAATTTTCCCTGTGTATAAAAAAACAAAACAAAAAAAAGAACAAAAAAAACAAATTCAGCATAAAAATATTATATTTAATCAAAGTTGTAGGATAGTGAAAGATGTTCAAAAACTTCGCATATAAAATCTCTTTTTAGTCAAAAGTAGTTTATTAATTACAAAACTGATATACTAATATACAAAAGTAGTTTATAAATTTATTACTCCAGAGGTGATTATGCACCGGAAAAAAAATCCGGATTTCTGGATTTTTCCCTAACTGCGCTCAGGAAGTTTCCAGAAATCTTAGGTCCAGAAGTTTCAAGAAATTGATCACATTTATGTATAAAAATTCTTGTATATTTTGTTTAAAAATATTAGAACTAGAATTTATACTTGGGATCTTTCATTTTCAAATATTTTTTCTGGTAGAATAATAGTGATTAGAGATAGAAATAAGCTTATACATAATTATTCATTTAAATTATGCTGTATATAATTTATTTAAAATTCAATGTTTTGAAAATATCAATGATTTAAATTTATAAAGACATTATGCGTCTTTAATGATTTTACTCAAGAAATTTTCAGGATTTTTGAGTTGGGCTCACAATTACCCCTGTTACTCTACAAAATGTACCCATTGCAAACGATGAATTTAATAATTTATCTTAAGTGTAACATTTGGAGGTACAGTGGATTAAGTAAAAAAACTAAGCCAATGAATAACTTTTGACCTAATGATCAGATTTTTACTTACTAGGACTCAATGGTTCAAGAATATAACCTTAATTATGATAATTAAGTAGTGTGGGCAACATTTTAAGTTACAAAAGGATGTTTTCTCTAAATAAATTAACCTTTTTCTTTGGATTCTATTCCTACCATCCTTGACCCTCAGAATGTGTGTGGGGAGGTAGCCATATTCTCTATAATATGATCCCAATAGTTTAATCAGTAGAGAGGCCAGATGTTTGGAACAGTAATGTCAATTTTACTTTTTGTGTATTTAAATTAATCGAAAATGTGTTTTACACAAAATTATGCAAAAGAAATTTTCCAGAGATAATTTCATATAATAAAAATAATTTTTCATAATTTTTTATTTTATTTAATATTGCTATAAAAAAATTTGATTTATGAAATGTAAGATGTTTACTTCATTTTAAGCTGTGTAATTTTGTTAAGTACGCAAAAATTAATATTAACATCCTGCCTAAACTATTGGGACCATATTTTTCAGATTGGGGCTACTCCCATATTCTGAGGGTGAAGAATATACGTTTATTTAATGAAAGTACACTTTCTGTCTGATTTCGTTCTGTCTGCCCCTAATTAATTATCATTAAATAAAGAAATTGTAAGGTGTTTGCCTTTTATTTTTAGGCACTGGACTTCACTTAACGGACACTTCATAATGTATCTCAAATATCTAGGCATTTTTGCAATCCTGAGTTCAGTAATATAGCAGAATTCATGTGCATTTGAAAAACTAAAAAGTAGTAGTAATATTAAGATTTTTTTTTAAAAAAAAATATTTTTATGTGTTTTTACTACCTGAATCTTTTAATAACTTTTCTTAAATAGCTTTTTCTGTTTCTGAAGGGGACGAATTTGAGTTTTTAATTTTAATTGAAAAGTCAAGGCAAAAATGTTTTCTGCTGTATTAGCAAAGAGAGACCAGTTTTTAAGATTATGAGGTGCATGCAAGCAAAGTATAAGGATATATTTTTTATCCACCCTGAATAGCAGACAGAGTTATCTTCAAAAAAATTAAATCAGCACAATTGATAAGTAATGCATAGTTTTATAATGTCATTCCACGCTTTATTTACTTAGCAATACAGAAACTCTAAATTGAATTATATTATCAAATTCTGATTTTTCTCCCTCTTATTCCAAAGAATTTTTTGTACCCTGTTGGTTTTTTAGAATAAATATTTCAAATTTAATTGAGAAATAATATTTGACTATCTAAACTTTTATTGATATTTTTTTCCTGTTCTTTATTCAATGAGGTTTTTTTTTTTGATAAATTTTATATCATTTATCATTTCTAAGAGGGTTTTTTTTAAAAAAATTTTTAATGTATTCCTATTTCCTTTTTAAGAAATAACCAATTTAATCAATCTGGCCAATTTTATTAACTCTAGTCATCTCTCATTTTACTCTAGCCATTTGTAATTTCACAATAATCATACATTATTCATATTCTAAAATTATATAATAAAAACCACACTATATAATTATAAAGTTATATTTACATTTGAATTGAGTGGAAATTTTATCTTTAAAAAAAATTTCCTTAAAATTCTAAATTGAAATTGTTTAATTTTTAAATTGTTACTTTTTGTAATAATGGACACAATAAAGAACATCATTTAAAAATATTTAAATTACTGACTTCAACAAGTATTTTCTTCCACTTCTTTTTTCACTGAATTTAAATGAAGAAATACTTATGTAACTTAATTCTTTTAGTATCTAAAATTTTATTTAGCCAAGCACCTGAAACAAAACCCAGACGCAATGTAGAGATTTTTCCAGTGTGGGAAACCAGGAAAGCATCTAATATTATGAGAACTGACAATATTTTTTTAATTTTGAACCCAATCTAGAAGACAAGGAAACTCCTGGATCAAGTATTGAGAGAAATTTTACCTTCACGGAAGTCTTATTGATGGAACTAACCCACATTTGCATTACATGGAGAGAAAAAACATGCAAACCTTCCAAGGGTAGTCCAAAGGCAAAGGGACTCTAACCCATGCTCACTGAGGATATTTTGCCTTAGCACTGCAGTCGGGGAGCCAGGTGCAGAATTCGTATCGACCAGCCATCCCCAGGTGTGAAAGTTTTCAGTATTTTGACGGATTTACGTCTTTGTAAAAAAAACACAAGACGGAGCGAAACGGAATAATACTATAAGTAAATTCTAAGTTCGTTTTTTTAAATTTTATGCTATAGACGGATTCAGTGGGAAAAGTCCCAAACGACCGATTCATTCATTCTAACTTTTCCCCATTTCCGTATGTAGGTTAAAGTCAGAGGGGAGAACCGGTTTTGAATGTCTATCAGTAAGTTCCGCTCTTGCGCGAATAAATTTCTGTTTTTATTTTTCTTTAGAAGAAATTGGTATTGGTTAGAAGTGAAGCAAAGTTAAATGACGACTCGCTAAATTTGTGGATTGTTTTTCTATTTCGCGTGCCTACTAGTTATGGTGTGAGTGGGGGTGAGTTATTAAATCCTATCATGGAATTTATCAATGAGAATGATGCTTTGAAAGTTAACGATGTAGGAATAAAATATAAGTGGAGATTTGCTTGGTTAGAAGAGAGTGATGTGCAAAATAAGAAATTGGTGTAAAAAAATTGAACAGCCAGGTTATTGCTTTTGTTTTTTATGCAATAAAAAGATAAATTACGGCAACAACGGAAAGAAAGTTCTTTTTAATCATTCAAATGATATTGAGCATCAGAAATTGGTACAGGCTCAAAAATATGTTCAAACTTTGCCAGCTGTTGAGTCGGTATTAGCTAAACCTTTGATATGAGATCGTGTTGCAGACCAGAAAGCTGTTGTTACTGCATTTCTATGTGAGAAAATGCTTCCTTTCTCTATTGCTGCAGATATTGTAAATTTGGCAAAATTTTTGGCTGTAGATAAAAATGCCCTTTCAAGACTAAAATTTTCGCTCACTCATGCTACGTACTTTACAACTCATGGTACAGATAATGTTTAAGAGAGGAACTTGTTGATAACTTGAAAGGAAAATTCTTTTCTTTAAACATTGATAAAGGAACTAGCAATGCTATGGATAAAGTAATCAATGTCTTTGTTCGATTTTATGATGAGGAGCAAAAACTGGTGCTAACAGACCACCTTGGTTCTTGTAAAGAAAATTTAAGCACATTAAAGAACATATTTAGCAAGGTAAATAACCTTTTATTAGATAATGGGCTACAGATAAATCAAGTTGTCAGCGTGCTGTTAGACAACTGTAATACAATGTGTGGCTGTAAAGCTGGTGTTGAAACTTTAATTAGAGCTGCTAATTCAAACTTATTGGACATTCATGGTGACACTGTGCATATTATAAATAATGTAGCTAAAAAGTTTTTTTCTCATTTTGAAAATTATTTGGAAGGAGTAGCAAGTGATATATATTATGATATACAAGATTCCCCTAAAGCTAAAAGTTTATTTTCTGAAATTGATAGTATTGAAAAAAAATTTATTTTAAGTAAGTGCAAAAGAGTTGATTCAGATTGGTGGGAGCCAATTTTTGAATTAAAAGATCAGAATAACGAACCAAAGTATAAATATTTAACTATATTATGCAAAGCACTTTTGACACCATTCTCTGGTCCTTTAGTTGAGGGAAGTTTCAACATTATGAATGATATTATTACTGAAGATCGAAGCAAACTTTCAGTTGAAAATTTTGAAGCAATTTCTACCATAAAATATAATTTAAAACGAAAAAAAATTAAGTCTATTGATATCAAGCCTTCTTTGAAGATGCGTAAGGCAATCCATAGTGCACATGCAAGTTACAGAAAGCATTTATCTGTTAAAAAGTGTTTATCTAGAAAAGTTGAAAGTACAAAAAATTTATCAAAAGAAGTGTCTCCGAATTCCGTTTTGGAACATCTGTATCCACCTGGACCTTCTAATTCCAAGCTTATTAATACATTGACGGTTAAAAATTCAGAAGGCTGCTGGAATAGTGCAGCCGTGTTGTCCGAAAAAAGATCCAGTGAACATTTTTCTTTAGACAAAGAAAAGCCTCCTAAGATTTTAAAGTCTTCTTTTATAACAAATTATTTTCAAAATAATTAAATCATTACTCTTTATTATTCACTCTATTTTTTTATGTACTTTTATTTTAAGAATTGTAAATTTTAATTTAATTTTATCTAATTTTTTAGTAAATTTTAATTTTTAATAAATGTTTTAGTTTGTAATTAAAATTT